TCTCTCTCTCCCTCTCTCTCTCTCTCTCTCTCTCTCACTCTCTCTCTCTCTCTCTCCTGCCACATGTCCTTGGTCTTCCACTGGGTCTCTCCTCCCAAGAGAAGGAAGTCTCTGCAGTCACTAAGAGTTTCTTAATTTGTGGGAGTAGAAGATGGGGGGCAGGGAGGAGTATTTTGGTTGAATTAACCAGGAAGCACCTATATATTTTTTAAATATAGATGTTAATTTTAGTTATAACTTAAGACAGGAACATGCTAGCTGCACAAAATTTGAAGTCAATAAATTGTGTTCACATTTTCACGATAATTTTTATTAGAGTCATTGTTATGTTTTAAACTGTACATAGACAGTCAATAAATCATATTATTTTACCATTACCATTACGTCCTGTTGTTGCCCCACAAGACAAGTCAGTCTGAACAATCATGGTTAGGGCAAACTCCGCCCATAGCAAGACCTCCACCAATCACAACAACATGTACTGCAGAGACCCCTACTTGCCTCCCAGTGGGACAAAACACCTCACCAGAGAGGCGTCCGGGAGGCAACCTAACCAGATGAGCCACCTCAACTGGCTCCTCTCGACYTGGAGGATCAGCGGCTCTACTCTGAGTCCCTCCTGGATGACCGAGCTRCTCACCATGTCTCTAAGGAAGAGCCCAGACACCCTGCAGAGGAAACTCATTTCGGCCGCTTGTATCTCGTTCTTTCAATCACTACCCAAGGCTCGTGACCATAGATGAGGGTTGGAACATAGACCGACCGGTAAACCGAGAGCTTCGCCTTCTGGCTCAGCTTCACCACGACAGACCGGTACAACGCCCGRATCYCTGCAGATGCAGCACCAATCCACCTGTCGATCTCCCGCTCCATTCTTCCCTCATTCAAGAACAAGACCCTGAGATACTTAAACTCCTCTGTTCTGTTTTAAGGTCTACCTATATTTTACCATCTGTGGTTGGAGCAAAATCCACACTAGTTAGCCAAAGTGTTAAAATGGTGGGGTAAAATTTTCAATCGTCCTTTTAATGTGCTAATGAACCTCTACTAAAAAGTTAGACGACAGCATATAAGCTAACAAAAAACAAAATAAATAAATAAATAAACAACAAGTTGTTAATTAGTAGCACAAATTGTGTATTTTTTCACTGGTACAAAATATCTACCTAGGCAACTAATACCAGGTTCACACAAGAAAACTGTGCAGATCTTTGGCTTGATTTTGCCTTTCCAACAATCTTAAAGGTTAACTAAACCCCAAATCAACTTGTTTCTGCATACAGTCTGTCTAAATTGTGCCTTAAGGGTATTATCTTTGTATTTCTGTGCTAATTTTGATATTTTTATGTAAATTTGTTTAAGTCTGCACTATTTGGTCTAAAACCGTTTTAGTGAACCAGGCATTATAATATTAATATGTTCAATTGTTTGAAGCTGTTTTGAGCTAGCTAGTTAACTTAACAGTTAATGTCTGGTTCACARGGCAAGATTTTAAATGTGTCAGGCCAATTTTCAAAGACTGACAGACCATGAGGATAAAACATCGTGGATAAAACAGGTTTGATCCTACAGTGTGTGGTGTACAGCCACAGGGCAAAGACAACACACCACATATTAAAAAATTTAATTGACAAACATTCAGATGGCAGATGGGAAATCTCACGAGATCTCTTGAGTTCAACATGAGTTCAAAATAAATAAACATTGCAGGTGAGGAAAAATCAGTGAGTGTAGTTTGTGGACTATTTACAGATAGAAAACAATTCAAAAAGACTTCATCATCCAGTGGACTTTCATTTTGTCTTCTGTATTTTGGATTCCCACTTTCTGATTGGCTACACGTCACATTAAACAAGCTGCGAGCTTCTTTYTTATACTACGTTTAATAGTGTAGACTTTTATTGACTTTTTATTAGTGTATTAAAAAACTAAGATGGGACTATTATGCAGCAATTTGGCTAAATAGTACAACCTTTTTTAAGCAAAACTCCCAGTAGTCGTCCAAACATTTGGTGTTAATATGAATGTCCAACACGCTTGACTAAGTGTGCAGTCAGTGCATTTTAAAATAATAATAACAATAATAAAAAATACTGAATAAATACAATTGTTTGTCATACTGGTTTCCTACCAAAGCCAGAGACATGAATAATATCACCCGCTTCGGATGTTATCATCCATAAAATCGACGTTATTAGTCGTTGTCTGGTGATAATATGGATTGTAAATGTAAACATGCTTGGTTGCATTTTACGTCAACCCAATCAATCAATCAATCAATCAATCAATCAATCAATCAATCAATCAATCAATCAATCAATCAATCAATCAATCAATCAATCAATCAATCAATCAATGAGATGAACATAAAGCTGCAATCAAAAGAAAACATTTTACTTTAGAAGAAAAATATCTGCAGCCTGATTTTGAATCCATTCCTGATTCTGTATTTCACAAAGACGGTTCTCAAATCTGCAACACATATGAAAACAGAATCAGCTCTTTGCTTGTTGTTTTCAACAAAGGAGGTTTTCAGTCTTAACTTCAGTCTTTATCTTTTTTTTTATTATTACTACAGTGTGGTTTTCTGCGGCTCCCTCTAGCGGACAGACAAGGCACTGCAGAGGGCTCTTTCATGCAGATATTCCTTCTTCTGTCCCGCTATCTCGGCTGAACAGTGAAGAAATTATCAAAGTATTTCACCACAGCAGCGGGGAGTATCATGCGAAATACAGAGAAAGAAGAGACAGAAAAAACCCCCACCAAAACTAATAACTCTCAAAAAGTTTGGAAGTTTTTATAGGAGTTTTGTAGCCAACACACTGCTGAGGGAAAAAGCGCAATTGTCAGATGAAAAAGTTAAATTTAAGAAAAAGAATAAAAGGGGAAGATGAGGAAAAACAAGAGAAAAATAGAAAACAGAAATCCAGTAAGTTTCTGTGCGTAAAAGCGCCGTTTACCTGAAGCTTTGAAAACTTGAAAACTCTCAGCAGCGGGGCCCTCAGCTGATTATCTCCTCATGTCCACTGGAGGGAAAGCGGAGAAAGAAAAAAAGGGGACACAGAACAGAATGGGGGGAAAACAGAGCCCTCCTGGATGCGCGTTCCGTTCCCGCAGCAGAGCCGTCCGTTCGCCCTGCCGTCCCGGTCCAGCCCCAGCGACCAGCCCTGATCCCTCCTCCAGCGCGCGCGCTGCTCACCTCAGTGAGCCCCAATGTCCGCGTGGGGGCGCCGCGGCTCCACAGGAAGCCGCGTGCGCGTGCGCGCGTGTACCCGTGGCCCACTGAGCCAAGCATCTGTGTTCTACCCTTCAGGACCGTGTTCAAGTTCACAGTCTGTAATGTCCGTTCAAAATCAGAGGATGGGGCCTTTCATGTTACAGATGTGCCCCCCCAGGTCAGGATCCTGGACCCTGGAATCACTTTAACTACAACACATTTAAAGTCTTAAACACATGGATAAATCCTACGTTTAGCTTCTTCAATATTCATAAACACACAAGCAGGAACTGACACTCAACTTTCTGGTGGTCTGTTTGTAATTAGAGGTTGGAGCTGGAGGAGTTTGCAGTCACTGTAAACACTTACAGCCTGACCATGACTCTTCTCACCATGTTTATAGATCCGTAGGTGCTTCAGTTGCCCGTTTTCCTATTTGTGTATGTTTGAGTGTTTGCGTGCATGGTGGGAGGTCTCCAGTTTTACTGTTACAGTATTTGAAATCTGCGCAGACTCATTACAAAGCTTTCTCTCATTCATTTCATCACTGTTCATGCATGCAGGGCTGCCATTGAGAGTGTATTCAAACCTGAAAAGAAATTCTTCACAATATAGTTGATTGCATTCATTGTCTGTGGAAATACATGGGAAACTTTTAGGGTGGGGGGAAAGAACAAAAGATATACTTTATCAGTTATAAGGCATTAAGGTTTGTTTACTTTGGTCATGAGGAATATGTGCCGCATGTCCAATCTATGAGGGATCGCAGGCTTCAGCCAACTTATAGCTAAATGTGGAGATGAAACGAAGTTCTGAGACACAAACGGAGCTGAGAAGACGGACAGATGGTGACCAGAGTTATGTTATTGCTGTGGAGATCTGCTCTCGGCTTTACTGCTGTTGAAGGGTTTATCCTTAAAAAGAGAAGAATGAGTGGAAGACTCTGTGTGAGGGTGAGAGAGAGAGGGATGGATGGAGGGATGTGGAGGAGTAGTTCTGTGGGGGTGTGACTCATACAACAGGAATGACCTTCCTCCCCCCCTAAAAAAGAAGTAAATCAGTTTTTGCCTCTCTTTCTTTCTCTCTCTGACACACACAGCCTCCTAATGGTTTTATTTCTTTCACATGAAGTAAGAGTATTTATTAGTGTGAGGGGTCCAACACACCCCAGAGTTATAAGCATCTTGTTTCTGTAAATCCAGCACAGTTTTTCTCACTTTTTTAACAGAAAAGTTCTCAAAAGCTTGATTTGTTTCATGTCTAAGCAKACATAAAAAAGATATAAGCAAAGAAAAAAAAGGTAGTAGGATGTTTGCACACAAATCCCCTTATTCAAGCAGCAGGAGCTCGATGTTCAGCAACACGGATACACAAAGTGACAGCTGCAGAAGTTATTAGCAAAACTTCTACTATATAAGATCCTCTCTGTAAAAAGTACAAGTTTTTCAGCACAGCATTTAAATCTAAGCTGCTCTATTCAACAGAAAACAAATAAATCACAAAAAAATTGATAAAGTAACTCTAACCCTCTTTATCTGCTTCTTTTTTTCCCTCCAGATGTGCAGTTTTGTTCAGACTACAGCTGGGAGTAGTTACCCCAGTGTGTCACACACACAACTGTGCACACATTGTGCAGATTTATAATCAAGTCCATATGTCAGTTTTATTTTATTACAGATGAATTTCACTAAAAAAGAGAGGTTGGTATGAGGTCTGAGTAAGTCCAGTTGCTACATCTTCGTCAACCAGAGTAAAGAGGAAATTGCAGAAAAGATGCTGAAGAGCCAAGACAAATTTCCAAAGAACTGTCCCTCTGCACACAAACACTCAGCAGCATGCATGGGAATCATATCCACGTTGTAAATTATGCACAGGAACATGCATCAACACTCAGACGGACACACCCACACACATGTAAAGTACACAACCAGACAAACAAACACGCGGGGGGGCTGCGATGAATAATCTGATAAGGGCCGATTCTGCTCTAGACCTTAAAGAACAACTTCAACACAGGAAGTGATGCATCAAACAGGGCAGACAAAGTGCGTGTACGTGCACGAGTCGAGATTGAAACAGTGAGTCAAAAATCCAGTTCAAAGAGAAAAAACGCTGGAGAGTGTCTGACACTGAAGCCGTCCCTCTGAAGTTCCTCTGCAGTCTGACAGTTTGATAAAAAACACGTGTCCTGTTAAGCAGCGGTGAAAAAATACCATTATACTTTTGCAGATGTTGATTTGAGAGGTCAAAAACAAACAGAAAAAGTACTTGTGGCGATAAAACGTTGATCTTTGTGGGAAGAAATCTTCATTCTTATTCTTTAATAATGTTAGGGGTCAGTTTACCGGCAACAAATCAGCATTGGACTTCCAAAATGTTGCTCAAGGACACTTCAACAGGCAGCAACCTCTTGTTTAAAACAGCCTGTTCCACTGAATACAGTATAATGGAGACTGACATCTTTAGTAGTGCTTATTATGACACTTAAGGGATTACATATTACAATAAGGTCCATCCATCCATCCATCCATCCATCCATCCATCCATCCATCCATCCATCCATCCATCCATCCATCCATCCAT